AATAAAATAGTAATTATATCTAGGGGAACAATCATAAATGCTTCTATCATAAATATCATATCATATCATCATATTATATAATTTGACCAACGAATGTATCTAACGACATATAAAAATCAAATATGGAACTACTTATTTTTCAATTGAATGTAATTGACTATCTAATTGAGTGACACCTAAGCATGAGGTCTTTTTTAATTATTACAAAATTGAGGTTATAATTTTTTAAATGTTTCTCCGGGAGAGAGATCACGTGCAACGTTGGATTTAGATGTAAAAGCCGTGAAAAGGTCAGAAGATCTAACGGCAGTGGTTAATTGTTGACCGTAATTCCCACGTGACTTTGGATCTCCAATCCAATACTGTTTGTCTTTTGTTTTCCCCAATCTGAAAATCCTCGAGCCCTAAGGTCCGTAACCACCTCGCTCGCCTCAATCTTTTTTTGCTGCTTCTCGATCTTATGAGGTATTGTCGTCTAGCTCTTTCTTTCGATTTGCTTATACGATCCCCTTTGATTGCGAGATTTGAATTTTTTTTCCTTTTGTCTTTCCAATGCTGTGATCGCCCTATTAATTCTTAGAACTTTGATTTAACTTCATCGAATGTGCATGTTCTCGCAAATGGGTGCATAACGACGGGCGGGTTAATATATCCTCTTGTTCCGCTGCTTAGAACTAGTAATTGATGATTTAGAGCAGATGATTTGATGTTCAAGTCTCAATTTTTTTTAGATTATATTTACGAAGTTATCACATTCATTGTAATTTTTTTTTAATGCAGAAAGGGGATTTCTAACTTATCATTCACATTTTGGATTCTAGAATCAAGCTTTAGTGTTTTCCCTTTGACACCCTCTCTTTGAGAATGTCATCTGAATCACCTTCTTTGCCTGCTACGGTAACACCACCAGATGCTCACCCTCCTCCTCCTCCTGCTACTGCCGTTGTTGAAGCTCCAAACGATGATTCACCTAAAGGCGTAGCGTCAAAGCTATCTGCCTCTGGGATATCAACATGGGCCAAAAGCCTGAAAGTTCCCCAGCCCTTTGCTTCCACCTCTGATGTTGATAACACTGAAAAGTCCGCCTTTGCGAAATTTACAAGTGGGTTAGGGCTTCGTTTGTCTCCCAAATCTCCTCAGCCAGATGATGAGACCACACAAGGAGCTTCTGCTTCTGCTTCTGCTTCTGCACAACCTGGTTTGTTTGAGGCGATTACCAAAGGTTTGGTTGATACGTCAAAGAACGCTGTCAAGGCAGTTCAGGTTAAGGCTCGACATGCTGTGTCTCAGAACAAAAGAAGATACCAGGTGCAGTTGACTTGTACTCAGTTACTTCCATGCTAGCTCTCTGAAATTAAATGTTTTATTTTTGCTCGACTTGTGGTGTAGGAAGGAGGGTTTGATTTGGATCTGACTTACATAACAGAGAATATTATTGCTATGGGGTTTCCTGCTGGTGACATGAGTTCTGGATTTTTTGGATATGTCGAGGTGAGTTTATTAGTATGCTTGTAGTCGTTGCCCCCTGGATAAGCTATGTTTTAGCTTTTGCTGCCAGATTCACGTTGAAGTTAATATGGCCTATGTTTGTTCAAAATATCAATTGCAGGGTTTCTACCGCAACCAGATGGAAGAAGTTATTAACTTTCTTGAAACTCAACACAAGGTAGTACCACTATTTTGCTAGCAAAGCTTAGTTAGCATTTCGATACTCATATGCCAATATAGCTACCCTAAGAATTTGTGAGTGAGTTAGTTACGGTGCTTTCTTATAATTTCTTTCTTTTTGTAGGGAAAATACAAAGTTTACAATCTTTGTTCAGAGAGGTTGTATGATGTATCACTATTTGAAGGGAAGGTATGCTATATCCTATTTTTTTTCTTCCTCTTTTCCTTGCATTTGACCAACGTATGATTTCCTTGAGTAATAGTACTTTAGTCATTATTAAGGAGACTTTCTCCATAGATCACCCACTGCACTATTTCAAGTTATTTAACTTCGAGGTACTTATGGAACGGTTAGATTTTAAAAACGGTTCTGTACAAGATTTTGCTTATATCTTACCTGGACTGTTATCCATTATCATGTAAAAAAAACTGTTGCGGTGAAGTGGCTCAATTTTCTGTTCCAAAGGATTTATGTTTCTAGGTTGATAGCTACATTCAGATTATGCAGGCACAATAGTAAACTAGTTGCCCTGCTTCTTTTGCCGGTTTAATGTCCCTAAACATCTTTTTCACTAATAATTTTGCCTCCAGGTGGCTAGTTTCCCATTTGATGATCACAATTGCCCGCCAATCCATTTGATTACCTCGTTTTGCCAAAGTGCATATTCGTGGTTGAAGGAAGACATAGAGAATGTTGTGGTTGTTCACTGTAAGGCGGGAATGGCCAGGACAGGGCTTATGATATGTAGTCTTCTTCTTTATTTGAAGGTAAAGCATTTATCATAACACTGTGAAAGACATAGTCAAACACAGGGAACTAATCATATTTCGTTTTCTTGTGTAGTTTTTCCCAACTGCAGAAGAGTGCATGGACTTCTACAATCAGAAACGATGTGTGGATGGAAAAGGGCTTGTGCTACCTAGCCAAATTGTAAGCCTAGTTTTGCAATTTATATAACAAAACCGCTTTTGAAACGTTATTTGCTCTTCCGCTGACTAGTGAGTCTGTTTAATTACTATTGTGTAGAGATATGTGAAATACTTTGAACGAATCTTGACCTACTTCAACGGAGAAAACCAACCAGGCCGCAAGTAAGCTGCTTATTTTTATACCTTAATGTAGTATACAGTTGTGTATTGACATTGTACAATTCCTTTGATTTAGGTGTATGCTTAGGGGATTCCGGCTCCATAGGTGTCCCTATTGGATCAGGCCTTCCATCACCATTTCTGATCACAATGGTGAGTTGGTCGATCATTGGTTCATGACAACTTATTAAGCTAGTATCATTTAGTTAATATCTTCTTCTAACTTATATGCAGGTGTTCTCTTTACCACGAAAAAGCATATTCGGACCAAGGATTTATCGGTAAGCCACTGTTGTTACTTCAATTCTGTTGAAGGCTTTTGTGAATTTGCACTGTATCATTTAGGATTTTCCATTCTTTTGCAGCCAGAAGACTTTTGGTTTAGTGCGCCAAAGAAAGGGGTTATGGTCTTTGCCCTACCCGGAGAGCCTGGTCTAACAGAATTGGCTGGGGACTTCAAAATCCATTTCCACGACCGTCAAGGAGATTTTTACTGGTTAGGAAGCTCGCACCTTGTTATAAATTTTCCTATCAATGTCTCTGACGGATCTTTTTTATATTCTTCTTCTCAGCTGGTTAAACACGACAATGATGGAAAACAGAGTGATCCTAAAAACCAGTGAGCTTGACGGGTTTGACAAGGTAATTTACTGAATGTTTGACTTTGTGTTTTAAGTCGAAGTTGGGTTCCTTCTTCATCAGTTCTTCGGTTTGTAATGATATATATACATTTGTGTTTGGTCTTTTTTCCTATACAGAGGAAGCTACCTTCGCCTGGATTTATGGTCGAAATTGTTCTTGCTGATATTGACTCAACGATCCCTGCTAAACCTAGCTCTGAACCAGCATCCAAGGCACCAGAAGAAATTTCAGCAGCTAACTCTTCCAATGTAGAGGGTGTTACACCGGTTCCAGCACCTAAGAAAGAAACAGAGAACCCTGATAAGGACGATGTGTTCTCTGACAACGAAGCAGACTCAACTGGTCCGGCCAAAACAACATCTTCGGCTTCTTCTCAAACCCCAGAAGCCAAACAGAGCGCAGATGAAACCTCTGGTCTGACTCGTGCGACTGAGAAAGTGTCTATTTCTGAAAACAAGGGATCATCATCACAGCCAGCGGTTAACAAGGCTGCAGCGACAGAGAAACCCACCGGGTCAGGGGTCAACGTGTCAAGCTCAGAGAGTAGTGAGTTCAAGGTTATGGCGGCTGATGCATCCGTGTTCTCATTTGGAGATGAAGACGAGTTTGAAAGCGATTGAAGAATGATGATTTAAAAGAAGGAAGATGTGTACATAAAAAGAACAAGGAAGTGTTTAAATCAATGAGATGATGGAACCATTCATTGTGCCGTGTCTTGTTGATGTTTGGATTTTACAGTATGTTTTGTTTCTTTTCTTGAAAGGTACTGCACAAAATTATACGTTCGTTCCTTACGTCTCTAATTTGTATTCCGACTTTTTATTACTTGGAATCATAAAACAATTCATGGTCTATCAATAGTTCCATAGGCTTTTGCTTTGACAAACTAGATGTTTCTTCTTGTGTATTGCAAGAGAGATCTCAGGCAACGTTAATGAAATAAAAAATGACAAGTGGCCAATACCATTCGCTTTGTATAAAAGGGACTACAAAACCCACTTTTGTATATGTTAAAATCCTCAACACAGACGAGGAAACCAAAGTTGTATATTCTCTTGGTCTAAGACTTCAGAGAAAACAAATCAAGTTATTCAGTTGAATTGATAACAATTAACAAGAGAAATCTTCCGCGTTATGGGGGAATAATTCGATTAATGTATGCTTTCCATTTTTATGGGAGAATCACTTGATAATGAAGCGAAACAGTGGTCGGCATGCTACCTTTACGTGGTAGGACATTTGGTTGGAGTGTACCCAAATTACTAAGAAATCAATAATCAAGCAAAACAATATTATATTGCCACTAGAATATAAAGTTTTAACTCATATGTTGTAAGAGATTTCTTTTTAACTTGAAAGTATGTAATTTCATTTGCAAGCCTTTTCAAGAAAATAAAAAGTATGTAACTTTATTTTACAATTTTTTTTCTGTTGTTAACATAATCACATTTTACAAATTTCTCATATTATTTAGTTTTTTTTCTTTCACAAACTGGAATTGAACAACCAATAAAACTAGTTATTTATGAAATGATCTAGCACTTCTAGTTAAAATTATATTTAATTGTTAAACACACAAAAGGAAGATATTTATATAAATTCGCAATTTATTCAGTTCAATTAAATTACATTTTCCTTTCACTATGATATTATTGTTACAGAAAAAAACAGTGTTACAGATTTATTACTTAGTTATAATATTATAGTTTACCACTTACCATATTGTATAGTGGTAGTAGTAATTAATAATAAAGTTTAGAGGAAAGAAACGTCTATCTCTTGCAGACAACTCCCTTGCCACCTACGCCACTGGCACAACTCATCTCAGGGAGCTCCATTTTGCTCTGGCCACCGTTACTGCCTCTGTTACCGGTGAACCTTGCCGCTGAGCAGTCAGGTGCAAACAGTCCGGTGGTCTGGAATTCCTTGTCACCACCCATCACAGGCATGTTAACTCCGATCTTGACTCGGCTTACGTAGTTAGGCCTATACGTTTGTCCCAAAACACCATCTACGTTGTCGCTAAGGTCTTGGAACTTGAAGCCCAAGTCGAGATGAGCTAGACAGTCGTCTTCCGTTACGTTGTAACCATGAATTCTTGAATCTTCCATTGTTATTGGCACCACTCTTGCTGTGATCTTAAGCATACCCACTACTTCAACCTGAATATATATTTTATATTATTAACTGATTACTACTAGTCTACTATCAGAATCTAATCTATGTTTAGATAAATATCTAAAATATTAGAAATGTTTCGTTGGGTTTGTTACTTTATATAGTATCAACCAAGATTAGCAATTATTCACACACATATCCTTGACGTATATTTAAATAACAAAATTTTATATATATATATATATATATACAAAATAATAATATTTTCTTTGGGCGTACGCCGTACCTCGACGTTGTTGGTGTCAGCATTGACTCGTTTGACCGAGACCTGAGGGTTTACACCAGGGGAAGAAGTCCACGTGGCACCATCTAACTGGGGAAGTGAGATGACATTTCCGTCAAAAGAGACGGAGATTCGATCAACGGAATCGTCCCATGTGGCAGTCTTGAGGGCTCCGACGTAGAAACGGTGAGTGCCGAAGAGGACAGCAATGGATTGGACCCAAGTGAAGTCACGTGACATACCAAAATTGCGTTTGCCGATGAAATGTGCGTTGATGTGAAGATTAGGGTCGGAGATAAGGCAGAAGTTGGAGTCTTTCTTGCCGTGGAAGTAAAAGGTGAGACCATCTCCTCCGATGAAACGTGGGTCTTGGCAAACAGATCCTGGCTTGTCACATTCTGCATCATAACGACGTATGTTGATTTAGTATACATATTAAGAAACTACTGTACAATGTATCATGAATAATTAGCATGTATAAGTAACTGAATAAAAAGGAATTAATGAGAAGTTGGGATGTAAATGAGGACATACTGCAAAGAGGCTTGCAAGTAACGCAGTCGACCTCACAAGAACGGGGACAAGCGGCTGGGCAACTATATTCAACTCCGTAGCATGGAGAGTCCTTCTTCTTACACCTAGCCCTTCTGACTCCTGCTCCTGCCTCACCGTCTGATGGGGGAGTTGGAGTAGAAGGAGAGCCAGGAGGACTTGGGACGGACGGTGTTGGAGTGGGGGTAGGATAAGGTGGAGTAGGCATAGTTGGAGGCGAGGGCTTATGGTCATCATCATCATCACCTTTGCCATCATCATTGTCATCATCGTCGCCTTTGCCTTTGCCATCATCATCACCTTTGTCATCATCATCGCCTTTATCATCACCGTTGTCTTCATCACCGGGCGAAGGAGGGCCACAAATGGGTTTGCAAGAAGCACATTCGACATGGCAAGAGTCAGGGCAGAACTTGGGACAAACATGTTCCAAATTGTAGCAATGTTTGTACTTCTTGATCTTACATGTTGCATGGCTTGGGTTCTTGGCTATGCCTGGTGGTGTATCAGCCATTGTTAGTGCGAGTGATGCGAGTAGTATGCATCCCAGTATCTGAAGTCTTGCGTGCTTGGCTAGATCCATTGCCAGACCTAGCAGAGAATATAAAAAGTTTTTTATTGAGGTATTTTGTGCTTTATGTTTTGATGCTTTAAGTATGTTGATGTGGTTAATGCATGTGGTGCGATATGGTTTATATAGATAAATATGCTGGGGTTTTTAATATCAAATTGAGGTCTCTTTAATTGAACTAGAAGGATCTTTTTATTAAGGTTTCGTGTACTTAAGGATTCTTACCTTTTACCTTTTAGGATAGCTCGATAGTTTTAAAATTATGAGAAACTCTTTGTACGTAACAAGACAGCATTACTGCTTTTTCTTTTTCCTAAAAACATTACTGCTTGCCCATACAAATTAAGTGTAAATAATTTATCGAATACTAATTATTATAAAGAAAATGTACATGTTATATATATGACGTACAAATGTAAAATAACATTATATGATATTATACTATATATATTTTTCTTGAATTTACCGCTATATATATGTTTTCAAATAGATTATTATGTTTTTAACAACTTAAAATAAGTGGTGTAACACGAGATACAGTGTGATATAACAGTCAAAAAATTTAATAAGCGTATCCTTTTTTGGTGTAAACTTTAGTGTAAAACAAAAATCTTTTCCATTATGAAGTGAATCACTGAACCGCATTCTGCGTTTAGGAACACATTTCGTTTGGAGTGTAAATCCAAAAGTGCTAAAAACTACTATACTCCTTCTGTTTCATTTTATTTGTCATTCTAGGTTTTTCACACAGATTAAGGAAATATTTAATTTTATATATTTTCGAGATAAAAACACAATTACCTATACATCTAACCATTTTTCAACCAATAGAAAAATAAAATATTATATAAAACTAATAAATTTTGTCTCGAAACTATAAAACGACACTTAATTTGTGCCAAAAAATTAAGTCTAGAATGACAAATATATTGAAACGGAGGGAATATTAATTAAAGTACGAAGTTTTGATAAAAACGACTCTTGCATACTCTACGTTTTTTTTTTTTTTTACTATACGTTTTTTATGTCTTTCATAATACGGAAAAATTAATATTTGTGGTTTTCATCATTACTTTTCTTTCCAAGTTTTCCATATATTTCATCAAGACTGCAGAAAGGTATGTCTCAGATACGCTGATATGGATAGGAATATAGCAACTTTGAAGCGATGAAAAGTATTTACTTTTGCTATGTGCATTTGACAACATTTTCTTTTGTTGTCATGATATTGTAAGTAATATTTTTAAGCAAAAGGGGTTCATACGTTTTCAGACGTATCGTGAAAGCAATAAATGTGCCGATTATTTAGCAAAAGAAGCATTTTATATATTTGCATATAAGTCAACTGATTCACTGTCCTTGGAGTTACCTCACATATTAAAAAAAAAACTGCTAGAAATATTTTTTACTAACCCAATATTTTAAATAGTTGAAAACCCTATCCCCAATATCTCAAATTAAATATTTAGAATATTTTTGAAATATCCACCTAATACAATAGTATTGTTATTATTTTAACTTCTACATATTAATTTCTGAATTGCTTTGATAACAATAACAAGGATTAACTATTTCTATAGAAGGGGTTTACGACATCTCCACTATGAGGATTTTAGAAAGTAATTCAAAATTAAAAGTAAGTAAATAGATAAGAGGATAAACTGATCTTCATTTCAGAATCAATATAAACTCATAAAAATGTCTCTCTAATAATCCACATATATATTATAGCTTACCTATAGTTAAAATCATTATTTAGGTAAATATATAAAAATATTAGTATTTTATGTCTGATACTTTATAAAATTCAAGGGATGGAGCTGCGCTAAATGTTTTCTATTTTCTAAAACTAGACGTGAATGAAGTAAACACAAGATAAAAGTATAAAAGCAAAGAGAAGTTAATATAGATTCTTATCTCAATAAATTTAAAAAAATAGAATTACATTGTATCATGTCATTACATGTGTTCCTTTCTCAATGGTTTCATTGTTGAAAGGAAAAAAATACAACCGTACAGGTTACAAATTTATTTAGTTATAATATTGTAGTTATTACCATATTGTATAGTGGTAATTAATAGTAATAAAGCGAATAGCAAAGCAAGCGTCTATCTCTTGCAGACAACTCCCTTGCCTCCTACGCCACTGGCACAACTCATCTCGGGAAGCTCCAATTTACTCCGATCACCATTTTTGCCTTCGATACCGGTGAACCTTGCGGCTGAGCAGTCAGGTTCAAAAAGTCCGGTGGTCTGAAATTCTCTGTCACCACCCATCACAGGCATGTGGACTCCGATCTTAACTCGGCTAACATAGTTAGGCCTGTAAGTCTGTCCCAAAATACCATCAACATTGTCGCTGAGGTCTTGGAACTTGAAGCCTAAGTCAAGATGAGCGAGACAGTCGTCTTCCGTTACGTTGTAACCATGAATTCTTGAATCTTCCATTGTTATTGGCACCACTCTTGCTGTGATCTTAAGCATACCCACTACTTCAACCTGGAAAAAGTATGTAGACCAAGTTATTAATTGGTTACTAATAGGGACATATATATATGTTTAGAAAATTATATTTAAATTACAATTTTCGTTGCGTTTGTTATATGACAAAAATAATCAACCAACAATTATTCACACAGATAATTCTTGTTCAAAACGAAAGTAGTCCTTCGAATTTGAGCTTGTTCCGTTGAATATGTGAGACTTTTTGGCTATATAGTAATATTTTCTTAGGGCGTACCTCGATATTGTTAGTGTCAGCATTGACTCGTTTGACAGAGACCTGAGGATATACACCTTGGGAAGAAGTCCACGTGGCACCGTCTAGTTGGGGTAGTAAGATAACATTTTCGTTAAAAGAGACGGAGATTCTATCAACGGAATCGTCCCATGTGGCTGTCTTAAGGGCTCCGACGTAGAAACGGTGAGTACCGAAAAGGATTGCAATGGATTGCACCCATGTGAAGTCACGTGACATACCAGACCTTCGTTTACCGATAAAATGTGCGTTGATGTGAAGATTAGGATCGGAGATAAGGCAGAAGTTAGAGTCTTTCTTGCCGTGGAAGTAAAAGGTGAGACCATCTCCTCCGATGAAACGTGGGTCTTGGCATACAGATCCTGGCTTGTCACATTCTGCATCATAACAACGTATTTCGTTTTTAGCCCACATATTAACTAAATATAAATACACAAAATAATGAGTTGGATGGATATGACATACTGCAAAGAGGCTTGCAAGTGACGCAGTCAACTTCACAAGAACGAGGGCATGCAGCAGGACAAGTGTACTCAACTCCATAACATGGAGAGTCTTTCTTCTTACATCTGGCTCTTCTGACTCCGGCTCCTGCTTCCCCGTCTGATGGAGGGGTCGGAGAAGGAGAAGATGGGGGAACATAAGGAGGAGAGTTTGGAGCACTTGGAACAGGGACTGAAGGAGAAGGGGTAGAGCCAGGGGGAGTAGGAGTCACAGGAGGAGTTGGGACGGATGGTGCAGGCGTGGCTGGAGGAGTTGGGACAGAAGGGGTAGGAGTCGCGGGAGTGGAGCCCGGAGGTGTAGGAGTGGGACTTGGAACAGAGGGTGTAGGGGTTGCTGGTGGAGAATATGGTGGGACTGGTGCAGTGGGAGTACCAGGAGGACTTGGCACAGATGGTGTCGGAGGAGTAGGAGCACTTGGCACAGCCGGTGTAGGAGGAGTGGGAGTAGGAGGGCTTGGCACGGCTGGAGTTGGAGTTGGAGGCGGTGGTGAAGTTGGTGGAGTGGGACTTGGCACGGCTGGAGTTGGAGTTGGAGGTGGTGGTGAAGTTGGTGGAGTGGGACTTGGAACAGCGGGAGTTGGAGTTGGAGGCGGTGGTGAAGTTGGTGGAGTGGGACTTGGCACAGCCGGAGTTGGAGTTGGAGGTGGTGGTGAGACAGGAGGAACAGGAGCCGGGGGCATAGGAGTGGGAGTAGGATAAGGAGGAGTAGGCATAGTCGGAGGCGTTGGCTTATGATCATCGTCGTCATCATCATCATCACCACCATCATCATTATCATCATCACCATCTCCTTTGTCATCGCCTTTACCACCGCCTTTACCATGACCTTTGTCATCATCGTCGCTGCCAGAAGGAGGATTTGGCGTTGAAGGTGTAGGAGTGGCTGGAGGTGGTGGTGAAACAGGAGGAACAGGAGCTGGAGGTTTAGGATCAGTTGGAGTTGGGGCCGGAGGAGTGTATCCACCGTCGTCATCACCGCCATCATCACCAGGAGAAGGAGGGCCACATATGGGTTTGCAAGAGGCACATTCAACATGACAAGAGTCAGGGCAGAACTTGGGACAAACATGTTCCAAGTTGTAGCAATGTTTGTATTTCTTGATCTTACATGTTGCATGGCTTGGGTTCTTGGCTATGCCCGGTGGCGTATCTGCCATTGTTAGTGCAAGTGATGCAAGGAGTATGCATCCCAGTATTTGGAGTCTTGTGTGTTTGGCTAGATCCATCGCCAAACCTTACAAAAGAAAATGGAAAGGTCTTTTTTCAGTTGTTGTGTACTTTAGGATTTGCTGGTTTGATTGTATGAATGATGATGTGATTCAATAAGTGCTGCGATATGGTTTATATAGATAATTTTTTGAGTATTTTTAAATATTCTAACATCAAGTTGGAATCTTTCTAATATTTTAAGCTACATGCAAGTAGGCATTTTTAATGTATAAACATATATAGGTTATTTTACAATTTAATCTTTTTCAAATATGCATTGGGTTCTTATTTCTGTAGATGCTTACCCTCTAGTAGGTTTGGGCGTTCGGGGTTCCAATCGGATTTCGGTTTTATCCAATCGGTTTCAGTTTTTCGGTTTATCAAATTTAGCCCCATTCGAATTATATGAAAATTTGGTTCGGGACCGGTTCGGATTTTCCCGGATTCAGATCGGGGTTAGTAGATCTTCAAAGAATCAGTATAACCCATTGTACTTTCGAGTTTTTGGTCCCAATCGGTTCTTCGGTTTAAAGTACTTGATTTGTACTTATTTTGTAATCAAAATATAAATAAAATCAGTTATTCGGATTTTAAATACCTGATTTGTACCTATTTGTAACCAAAACATAAATAAAATTGATTCAAAAAAATACATCAAATGTGATTATTCAAAATCAAATGAAAAGTAAACATTAGTTATTAATAAAAAGAAAACCGAAATGTAACTATAAAATGAAAACTAAATTCTCATGAAATGAGAAACATTATTCAATGAAAATAAAATTAGAAGCTAGAAGCTTCAAGATTCAACCACCACATTTAACCATCAACCTTCATATAATAGATAATTATTTTAGATGTTCAATAATATCTTAAAGTATTTTGGATACATAATAGAATTTTTGGAGATTTTAAATGCTTCAGGCTCTATTGGATATCCACTTAGGTTCGGGTTCGGTTTGGATAATATCCATAATCCGAAATATCATAAAACAAGATCCATTAGGTATTTAGATCGGGTTCGAATCGGTTCGGATTCATTTTTATCGGATCGATTTTGGTTCGGATTTTCAGGTTCGGTTTATTTGCCTAACCTTACCCTCTAGGATAATTACGTAGAGTAACAATTTTTTACTAACACCTTCATACATAAGAAAAACAACATTATATCTCTTTTTAGATCCACCATTACATTCTAATATAAACATGATTCGAGTATTTTATTGATAAAAAAAGCTTTCTATAATGCTAGTAGGGTGTCAAAACTCTCACAATATTACTACTGGAAATTAATTAGTTACAGGTTTTTATACACCTTATCGACTATTTGGTCGACCCTAAAAAGAACGTGCTTAGTGTTATAAAGTGGAGTAACTCGAAAGTGTAACACACTGTCTAACCGACCATGTTAACTACTTAGATCAAAATTCAAATCTGGACTAACCAAACTGCAATAGTTTAGTTTCCAACGAAAATTAAAATTTAAGATCGACGAATTTAAGCCAAATCTTAAGAAATTTTTTTTTTTTTGAATAAGGGCTTCAAATCTTAAGAAATTATGAGACTACCAATGCTTAATTAAACTACCTATGCTTGATTAGTTACAAATTATTTTTTGATTAGTTACAAATCTCTTATATATTAAAAGAGAAACATTTGCAATAAATGTGTTTACACACACATTTACACGTGTCAGTTTCATAATCATTTTAATTTTAAAATGCTTACATGTCAACTTCACAGTTATTTAATAATTAATACGTTCACACACCAATTTTCTTAATCTCATTGCAAACAATTTAATGTGTTCACACACTATTTGTTAATCAGTTTATTTTCAGTTTTCGTGCTTTTTACTTTTATATTTGAGAATTGAAGTTCTCTCCACACAAGAACTGAATATTATCATTGTTCAAAGAAATAAATGACAAAATCATTAAGATTTACAGCAACTAAAATACCAAAATAATAATATTCTTAGAAATTGAAAGTTTCGTATCTTGTTGAACTTGACCATAGTTGAGGTTTATGCATACGAAAATAACAAATAATTGTGATTGATTATAAATTAAGGAAATTGAGGTGAAAATGCCACACACAAAGTTGAATATTTAGTTTAGCCAAATATTATTTTTCTTTACAACATTTTCATATCAAACCAAGAATTAGAAACATAATCAGATTGTTAGAAAAAATCAGAAACATAAAAGCTTAAACAACTTCGCGAAATCAATTAAAAACATGAAGAGATCACATTATATTCAACGTAACTCTAATCCATTTTACTCGATTGTATAGTATTTTTATTATATTTACCAAGAATTATTTATAAGAAAATACATGTTATTGGTTATAGACTATGTCAATTTTGCACCATGCCCAAAAATATTTACATGACGTCCAACATGTTAATTTTTCGTTTATTTATTTTTCTTTATATTAATAGAAGAAAGTAAGCATGGATAAGATATTTGGATCCGAAGAAGTGAACCAAACTTGATTTGAAAGTAATACTAACACAAACTAAAACTGATTAAGTATTCAAATGGATCTAAAAGTTTAATATCTGAATCCAATCCAAACTGAAATATTTTTGATACCGAAAATATCTAAAATATAATTATATACTTAAATTTATTACTTATTTTAAATTTTATATCTATTAGATATTCATTAATATGAAAATATCTAAAATAACATAATATGTTCAAAGTACTGAAAATATATTTTTCTCCATCTAAATATTTAAATTAAACTATTTTTATGTAAATTTAAGTATTTAGTTTTAAATTATTCAAAATTTTATGTTTTATATTATTTTTATTTTCAAATTTTGGAGATTAAATACTTCTAGATTTTTGTTAAAATATTACATAGTTAAAAAGGTACCCGAACTCTAACTCAAACCGAACTGTAATGATTTGAACTAAATTTAAACCAAATTCAAACCAAATTTTTAAATATCTGAATCTTATTTAAATTTCTAACTCTAAAACTCCAATATCTCAATATTACAAGTGAATTCGAACGAATATATGAATACTCATATCCCTTGAAAAAACTATACAATAAATCTCTTATTATAATATAAAATAAATAATTTAATCAATTATTTCATTCTGTGTAAATCGCAGATTATTACCTAATTTTTTATTAATTGACGCGATGGAATCGACTACTAAAACACCAACACACCATTTTCTTACATATGAACGTGGAGTAACCATATGAATATATTATATATGATGATGATCCGATTAATATTTTAGAAAATGTTAAAAAATGACCCCCAAATACCCTATATATTAATTGAGAAACATTTGAAAAGATGTAACCTCAAGTTTGTATTAATTAAAAAGTAACCTTGCTTAGTTGTCAATCAATTAGCATATCAATTAAACTGACGTGGCGACTTTAGGTTCAATTGAAATTTGCTAGGGAAAAATAATTAGAGACGCATATAACGCATGTAACATAGTTTATATATTTATATATATATCGCACACATGTAATGGAAGAAAAGGAAAATATACGATTTGATAACGATTTGCATATATTAACTATAATAACTTCATTCCTTTTAATTTATGGAAGTGTATATGTAAAATGGAAAATACTTAAATTCAAATAATCATAACGTAATTTATAAATCATTGGTGTAAAGTTTTGTTACACAAATATGCAAATAANGATTTGATAACGATTTGCATATATTAACTATAATAACTTCATTCCTTTTAATTTATGGAAGTGTATATGTAAAATGGAAAATACTTAAATTCAAATAATCATAACGTAATTTATAAATCATTGGTGTAAAGTTTTGTTACACAAATATGCAAATAATCATAAAATCATATGAGTAGAAACCTCATTTAATAAATATCCACATTAAAAATGTGCTATATTACTATGTTTATATCATTTAAATTTAATTATATATCATATACAATATATAAGATTGATTATTTTGATTTATTTACTCTAATTGTGAATAAACAAGAGTAATAGTTAAATTTATATGCATACGCCAATTTGTTACATAATAGTAATTGATTTCTTAGTTATTTAATATATGTATATTTATTATTTTATTATTTATAATATGCAGAAAAATATAAAAGAAATAATAAATATAAAATACTTATTGTGCATAAAGTGCAGATCTTAACCTAAGTATTTATCTGTTTAATTATTTTAAAACTTAAATATTTTCTAAATTTCAGGTCAAAACAAACAAACGAAATGAGAATAAAATTCAAAGTAAATATTTATATCGAGTAATAACCAAAATATAAAAAAAAAACATAGCAAGAGAAAATTGGAAGATAAAAAGGATTGACACGTGAACGTGAACTTCTCATAACTGGAAGATAAATAGGATTGACACGTGAACGTAAACTTCTCATAACCATAATTAATTTTTAAATTGTTAAATCATGATATAAAACTGAGTTAATTTTTAATTTGTTAACTTTTAATTTTTTAAATCATTATGGCTATGTTAAATCATGACAATAATTAATTTTAAATTGTTTATTTGTATTCGAAAAACTTAAAATATTGCTTTTAAAAATAGTTTTAAATTTAACATAATTTTTTAGAAAATTATTTTTTAAAAAATATAATTTTTAAAAAATATAATTTTCTAATATTATTAGACAAATAAATAAATTATATTAAATTAGTTTAGAAACTTTATATATTTTAATTGCAAATATTTTACCAATTGCTTCTTTAAAAACATTAGGGAACTTGCTATACTCTACCAATCAAGCCCAGTGACACTCCATTTATTTTCCATCACTCGANCAATTGCTTCTTTAAAAACATTAGGGAACTTGCTATACTCTACCAATCAAGCCCAGTGACACTCCATTTATTTTCCATCACTCGAACACTGAAAAGTAAAAAGATATATGAAATCAGATCCATTAAATTCTAAGATTTGATTTACATTTCTAATTAAAATTGTTTTTGATCATACGTATAGATAATTATATAAAAATTTTAAAAT